GAAAAGGCAGGCAGAGAATTTTTGAAGTCATACATTTCTGTTATGTTTTAGTTTTTGACAATAAACATGTTACTTTTGCAATTATTAAGAAAATGTAATATTTAAATCATTTAGCAATTCCACAAAGAAAACACAAGATAATCTATCATTGATACTTCAAAAACTAAAAATAACTTCCTTAAGTATTTTTCTCCTTACCTACCATCCAGTATAACAAGAATTATCAAATCCTCATTTACACAAGCAGCTTCCTTGAAAAATTAGATTACAGCCTTGGCCAGTGTGGCTCAGTTGGTTGGAGTGTTGTCCCATGCACTAAATGGCTGTGGGTTGAATTCTTGGTCAGGGCACATGCCTAGGTTGTGGGTTCCATCCCGGGTTAGGGAGCCTACCTATTGATCTTTCTTCCTTTCCTTTCCCCTCCCTTCCTCTTCCCCTCAAAAAAAGCAATGAAAAAAATGTCCTCGGGTGAGGATTAAAAAAAAAAAGAAGAAAATTAAAGTTACAGACATAATAGGATTTGTTTAAATAAAAAATATTTAAATTCATATTTACGGAAAGAAAATGTTTTATTCTTAATATGTTTAAGGCTCTTGATAATGAAATACCACTGGGATCAAAAAGAAAAAAAAACGCTTATAGTAATAACAATTTATTAGTCTAGAGCGTGCCACAATCCAATCCTTAGAACATATTCTAAGCTCCTGACTGACCAACAGAAAAAAATATCCTAAACGAAGAGAAACATAACATGAAATGGAGGGTCGAAGCTGGGTGTCCTCTCTTTACCTTGCACTGCACCTCTTATATGCATTTATTTTCCATTAGATAAGCAGATACCAGCTAATAACTTTCACTGTTACACTGCTATTCTATTAATGGTTTTCTTCATGAAATAAATATATCCATAATCATGGGGAAAGAGCTATGGAGGAAAAAATATTGCTCTAATCAAAAAGTAAAAATGTGTTGAAATCTGCAAAAATATTTCATTAAAAAAAAAAAGTTTGGATGTGTCTTTTCTGTCCTTTAGAGTTGAGATAATTTAGCAAGAGAAAAAATATGCAAGTATTTACTGAGACCTTTTCATTTTTTAGTACAGTTACCAAGTTCATGTTGGTGATGATATAGGAAAAGAAGAGGAAAAAAAAACAAGAAAAAGTAAATAAGAAAAAAACTTGTAAACTCACCAAAACTGTTTTCTTTTGGAAGTTGGGAATGTATGTGTTTGCTAAACAGCAGTAAAATTTCAGAAAAACACATGCTGCCCAAAAGATTGCTGAGACTCCTAAATAAATACTATCTTACACATATACACAATTAAACAATTTTCACATTGTTATACTAAACTGAGCTAACTTCTCTCCCACTACTTCACAATGAACTTGTAAAGATAACATAATCAGAGCTGGAATCAACTTTATTGTTCCCTTCACAGTTACTTTGCTCCCATTTCAGCAATGAGGGGAAATGAAGCTCCCAGGAGTAAAGACACCCACTCAATGTTAAAGAACTCTCAGTGACAGACTGAAGATTGGAAAGCAGGTCTCCTAACTTCTCGTCCAATACTCTTCACCACCATCACCACACTGCTTGCCATGCCACATTGACAGATACAAAAGCAGCCTGAAAAAAATACTAAAAATCACTACATAAAGTCTAGAAAAGGGAAGGCATATTTTTAATAGAAAATAAAACTTTAAAGGATTCAGAAACAAATAAATTTAAATGTAAAACTACCTACCACTTTCACACCTTTCCCTAAAATCCTTTTGTGTTCCTACATCCCTGATTAGACAAGTTCCTTAAAATTTCCATAACCTGTACATATTAAGACCTCAAAAATTTTCCAACTGATGAAATTTTCCCTTTTTAAAGCAAATGGAAATCATTTTCCAATAACCAACCATGTTACATTCCCCCTAATGAGCATTAAAGCACATTACTCTTTTTTTTTTTAATCCTCACTCGGGGATATATTTATTGATTTTAGAGAGAGGGGATGAGGGAGAGACAAGCATCAATGTGAGAAACATCCATCAGTTGTCTCCTGTATTCCCCAAATGGGGATCGAATCTGCAATGTAGGTTTGTGCCGTGACGTGGGATCAAACCCATAACTTCTGCTGTATAGACAACACTCCACAATCAACTGAGCCACCCAGCCAGAGCTAAAGCACATTATTCTTGATTATAGGTCAATGAAGTATTTTTCATTCGGTATACTCACTAAAATATTCCACTGCACACTTTCAATTAAAACAGAGCAAAATAATCAGATCTGATGGACAATCTAATGCACACATGCATGAATTAAAACATGATAATTGACTGGCAGATATATATTATATGGTAGGTTTTTTTGAGGACTACATGAGACTAAGATTGAAAAGATTATATGGTTTATACTGTCATAAAAATGCAGACAGCATGAACCTTAGAAACACATGGTGAACAGATCTTACTCATTTTTTTTTTGGCAAGATTTTTGAACAAATGTTTCAATTCCTAGCCAGCAGGGAAGGCATGCCAGTCTTACAGACACCTCTACATAGGCTGAAAGATTCAAAATCTATCTGATGTATTTGTATGCAGAATTACACAAGGAGAGAAACCCAAATCTACAGTTATTAAAACTAGAGCAAAATTTTATATATATACACACACACATTTATATATATGTTAAGTATATATAGTAGATATTATATTATCTATTTTAACAAGGCCTAAATGAAGGCTTCATGGACCAGGTAAAAAAATCAAAGTATTGGTCACATGGCATAGTAAGGTTGCGCCTGATTGGTTAATTCTTGGTATCAGGAATCCTAGTATACAAGCACAGGCACCTGATTTTTTAAAACATAGCTTTGGAGCAAAATGGGTAAGTAATTACTATTATTATACTAGTTATTCAAAAATCAGGCAAGGTAGACAAAATATTCCTCAACAAAAACTATAACTATGTGTTAAGTGCTAAAATAAAACATTTCAGTAACTCAAAATATTCAGCACTTGGATATAATGATTACATTCAACTTATTTTAAATTTTGATAGTTCGATTAAAACAAGAGCCTAGTTTCTCAAAACAGGAAGTGAAAGAAAATATGCTTTTGAGAAATAGCAGTGTACTGCAATTATAAAAACTCAAATGCCTAGAACTTAATCTTATATAATTTAAAAGGTGGAATATGTAAAGTATGAACACATTTATACTATAAAAATGTTTAATGAATGGTTGAAAAAAGGTATTTCGTCCAATTAACCAAACCACTTTTGATGTTACTCTCACTTCCTCTTCTGGAAACCATCATAACCATTTCCTTTAACCACAATACCGCAGGTCTAGTAACTTTTAGTAATGTTTAGTAATGCTCGCTTTTTTGGATAAAGTTCATATAAGAACCAATTTCGAGGTCTGTTAAGGAGTATGTAACCTCACAAAAATGTTCAGGTCAATGCAACCTCTAAGTAACACTATCTAAACATAAATTATTCCCAAGCTATATAAATTTATAACCAAGATTCTGGTAAACACAGAGGGCTTCTTTGCAATGACACTGAGTCCCTGCCACAGAAAATGTAACAAACTGAACAGGCACTTTCCTCCTCAGACTGCCATCCCATTTAGAGGCAGTCAATCCTCTTTCATACAGCTGAGCAACTGGAACCTAGCTATCCTTATACAAAATTTTTCACCATTAAGCCAGGGCAGTATTCTCCTTTCGAATTACAGAGTCTGCAACAAACTGTTGAAGTAAACCAACACTTTACTTCACTTTTACACTTTAACCCTACGATATAAATTTCAAAAAAATACTTATTTCAGCATCCCTAATTTACAAGCATTGTCATTCTATTGCTATAATTAAACTAAAAGGAAATATTCACGACATAGTAAAAAAAGCCAACAATAATTATGAAGAAACGATATCAAGTCCACATTGGAAACTCTAAGGATCTATACTGTATTAAAAATATCTCTTCTTTTTCTCTTTATCAAATTCTTTAAACTTACTGACCTTGTTTCACAAGAGAAAAGATTTTGGTTCCTTTCTCCTTCGATAAATTAATATGTACTTGTTCTATCTTTACATCTGTTTTTCTTAACTCCAACTCAGGCTAACAGTCCTTAATCTGCTGAAGCTATGTCAAGACTTTCAATGGGCCTATTAGCTCTAGTTACTCAAATTATCAGAATATGCTATATATCAGTGGTACAGCAATGTATTTACAGCTTATCTGTACGCACACCAAACTTTAAGGTGTTTTGGGACTATCAGACAGGGTTGGAATAACGAAGACGAGGAGGAAGGAAGAGGGAAGAGCGAGAAGGTTGTTATTCCTGTTCTAGTGACTCACAGCCCATAAGTATTTCAGAAGAAAATTGGTTCCACCCTCTCTTCACCCTCCTCTTCACCTTCTAAATGAAATAACTGCAAATCGTCAACACGCTCTCACACGGCTTTTACCTAGCAATCTAAAATAAAGTGGCAAAGTGAAAGGGATGCGGAGTTCACCCCGATTAGCCATCCCTTTCCCACATTCCCACACTTGTACACCCAAAAATTTAGGAAAAAATTGCTATCACCTCCGCCAGATTCTTACCATTCAACCTTAGTTATGGAACATCCAAGTTTTCCTTCCCCCACCCCAATCCTGTCCACCCACCACCCTCCCTTTCCCGTTGACCCCGTCCCTGGGGCAAGGGCGCCGGTGAGGGGGCGGCAGCGGCGGCGCCCTCACCCGGCGCCGGGCCGGCCCAATCCCGCCGCCGGGAGCGGGGAAATGGCTTCTCAGCCTCCGGCCGGCCAGCGAGCCGCCGGGGGAGGCGCCCGGGACTCCACATTAGGCCGCGGCGCCTCCCGGGAACCCTGAGTCGGGCCCGGGCCGGGCCCGACGCGGCGATGCCGTGATTTCAGCCCAGGGCGCCGCCCGCCGCCCGCCGCCCGCACTCCCGGCCCGCCAGCCCCGCCGCCGCGGCCTCGCCGGCCCGTGCGCACCTTCTTGATGTTGTAGAGGCGGGTGAGCATGCCGACGCCCCGATCGTTGAGGATGGTGAGCTTCTCCGCCAGCTTCTGCTGACTGGGCTGCAGCACGGAGCGCGACATGGTGAAGCTGGTGGTAGCGGTGCCGCCGCCGGCCTCCTCGCGCCCAGTCACCGGCCCGCGGCCGCCGCAACCTCTCTGGGGCCTCCTCCCCTCCCGCCCGCGACCTCCGCCTCAGGGGAGCGCGCCCATGGCCCTTGCTCCCCAATTTCGCACGGGTGACAGAGCGAGCAGCGGCGGACGCCTAGGGGGCCCTTCCCCCGCAGCCTCCTTCCTTTCGCCCGCCGCCCTTCGGTCCCCAGCCCCCACCGAGCCGCCTTCCCGGGCTCCTCCACTAGGTGTGGCGGCGGCAGCGGCGGCGGCGGCGGCGGCAGCGTCTCCGCCGGCTGAGAACGAGGCCGCTTCCCGCAGCCCCGGACGAGCGGTCGGTCACCTGATCGACCGCGCCGGCGCCCCCACGAGGCCGGACGGGGAACTGCGCCTCAGGGCCCTCTCCCTCTCCGCCTCGTCAAGCTGCCTCCGGCGCCGGCCCAGACCTTTCGTGGCCCGCCCACTGCTTCTGTTTTTGGCCTGGGAGCCCTAAACCTGGATCCAGTAAGGGAGTCACATTTCTACACTCGTCTGACTTCGCTCCACACTCCTCTCCTTCAGGTTCCCAAAAGTTGTCTCCCGCACCACCTCCCTAAAGAAACTAGCAGAAGCCCGGGGGTGGGATTGGGGGAGGGTACTGGTTTCGGGAGAGTTTCGCCCAAGAGTGGGCTGGTGGCTCCACGCTCTTTTCCTCCCACTGTTTGACAGACGCTCCCCGCCGAACACAGCAGCAGTCGTGCTCGGCGTAGTGGGGATCGCTTCTCCCCATCCCGTCCCAAGTTCTCCTCCTCTAGGCGGTTCGTGAGACAGGAGGTCGGAAGCGAGGGCAACTCAAGTTCCTGAGATAATGCGAATCCGGAATTTGTCTGCGAGAAGCACCCATCCGGAGAAGACGCAAACAGAGTCCCTGGCATGGGGGCGGCAAAAAAATAAATTCTTATTCAAAGAGTGAAGGAACGCTCCTCCCCCCCCCCCCGCCCCCGGCCTCCACCTTGAATCCCACCCCTTCTTGGAAACTTTCTACTACTTTTCCATCTCACGTTTTTCTTTTCTTTATAGCCACACTCCAAAAGTTACTCCTTTTGGTCAAATAATTAGATATGGTTCCAGAAGAAATAAACGGCACAGGTAAATCGACTGGAGCTAGGAATTCCAGACAAGGGGATTCAAACTTCCTTGATATTTTTGTCCTTAATTTCCTTCGATGTGCTCAATTTTTCTATTATATTCATTGATTTTTTAAGTGAATGACAAAATGTTCTGCCACCTTCTAAAAAAGACATTCTAAGAGTAAGGATATCATTGGATTGATCAAAATGCTTTATGAGGAAATCGTGATGAATAGTTTTTAAAGCATTTTTTAAAAATACTGGTATATGTGTTTTCCTACGAAGATCTTCATTTTACTAGCCCAAGGAGAGAAAGGGGGCGGGCTGAAAGGATTTTATTTAAAAGGCATTAAAAGAGCCCTGCATCCACCAGAAGATCTTGAAGTTCTATACATAGGACTTAATGACCTTGAATGAAGCCTTTGTGACTAAAGATTTCTTTATGATTTTTTTTAAACATACACACTAGAGAGGTCACCTAATAAGCTACTGTAAGTCAATAACACATGAGAGGGTTTAATTTATCTGGTTACTTTTCAACCTGATGGTTAAGATTTTAATTTAGAGGAAGCAAGCATCTGGAGCTTAAGATAGCACTGCCCTGGCAGGTAGCTTAGTTGGTTAGAGTGCTGTGGCCCCCATCTCTGGTCAGAGCACATAAAAAGAGCAACCAGAAGCAACGAATGAATGCACAGCTAAGTGAAGCAACAAATTCAAGGTCGGTCTCTCTCTTCCCATCTCCCTAAAATCAACAAATTTATTTTTTTAAAAAAGGATTGTGAGAACAGACCTGGGCAAAGCCAGGCTGCATGAGGAGTTTGGGGCAGTCAAACAAGAAAACTGAAAGGTGTTGAATGTTGAAGGAAAGATGTACTCTTTTAGAGGACCAAAACAAATTTAACCAGAGGCAGAATTACAGAGCCCTACCATCGAAAGCTTCCATCATTTTCTAGTTTTTCAAAAATGCTGTATAGAGAAAAGAAGAAAATGGTACCATACTACAATTTGAATACAACTATCACCCCTCAGGAAAAGCCTCCATTATGTTTTCATTTGAACTTGAACACCTCTAGCTGCCTGCAATTCAGCTCCCTATAGAGGAGAACACTGTAGATACTCATCTCATTAGTATTCAATTTTTATTGTTACTAATTTTTTGACATATTGGCCCTAGACTGAATGGAATATGTCTATTTGAATAAAAGAGAATAGGTCTAGATGAAGTATTCACAATTTTTGCATTTCTCTACATTTTACATCAAAAAGCATTTTATTATTAAGATCCAACCCTTTGCCTGGCTGATGTGGCTATATGCATTAAGTGCCCACCTGTGAATAGAAAGGTTGCTGGTTCAATTCCCAGTCAGGACACGTGCCTAGGTTGCAGGCCAGGCCCCCAGTTGGGGGTGTGCGAGATGCAGGTAATTGATGGGTCTTAAACACAGATGTTTCTCTCCCTCTCTTTCTCCCTTCCCTCTCTCTAAAAAGAAATAAATAAACATTTTTTTTAAATCCAACCTTTTTCAAGTTGCCTGTATGTGTAATATAAAGTGTATCATTAGTGCCTTATAATTTGTGAGCAATAATCATGTATTTTACCATGCCAGTATGATTATAAGGCAATTGTAATTAATGTCATATTTTCTTTCAGTTTTTCAGTCTTTGAAAGTATATCATGCCATGTGAATCACCCTATAAAATTATTACAAAAAAAATTGCTCCTGTTGTGACTTTATTTTCCTGATACAATTTTCTGGAAAAGCGTAATTTTTTTAAATGATGAGGAAACTAAGTTTTAAAAAGCATAATTGAAGATTTTATTTCCTTCATCATATAAAGGATAATCTTCACAGTTCCTTTGGGACTAAAGATTTTTAGTTTCATTCAGCTAAGAAGTTTGTCCCTAGAACATATTCAGAGATTATTAAAATTATTATAGCCTTCAGAGCAATGTAGAAAGTGGATGATAGGTTCATATTTGTAGTAATCATAGAAAATTAACTGGTAAATTTAAGTAGTATAAACCAGTATGCATTAAAAAGTGTGAATATAGATACATAACTTTTTAAAAGTCAGATTTATGATAATTTACATACAGTAAAAGTTACATGCCTATGAATAATTTTTTTTTTTGAGACAAGTATAATGGTATCCACTTTAACGACAGCAAGCATTTGAAAATCCAAACAGGAAAATATTAAATAGGAAGAGACATCAGGTCAGCTTTATAGAAGAATTTATAATAGCATTACATTTTGTGCCCCCCCAATATATTTCACAATGATTCCATTATAAAATTCTACTTATAAAATTTTAGAAACAAATCTATGACGTATAGCTTTTTATACATTATTATAAAATATTAAAAAATTTATAGTAACAAGATTTTGCTCTCCTTGAACTTACATCTGGTGAGAATAGAAATATATGTAAGGAAGTCTAATACAAGTCAGCCTGAGATATAAGTCTAGGAGAGAAGACCTAGAGAAAGCAGTTTCAACCTGCAGTTCCAACCTGAAGTTTCTAAGAACCTTTTGGAATAACTTACATTTTGGCTTTGAAAGAGAGGTCTTGGACTTAAAAACTTGTAGGAAATGACAGTTTAGGCAAAAAGTAAACTTTAGTAATTACAAAATAGTAAGAAGAGAGTAAGAAATAGCAACCTGGTATTACAAAGAAGTAACAAAGAGTGGCCTAAATGAAGTGAAGGAAAATAATATGAATGTTTATTACATACGAGAAAGAAACAATGGGAAATAAAATCAAAAAGAGAAGTGAAACAAAATATGTAGGCTTATAAATGCTAAGGTATGGAGAAAATTCAGTGGTGAAGAAATATAGAAAAAATTGTGAGAATAAAAGGTGACTTTTGAAGACTTGAAGGTAATAAAGATAATTTGAAACAGTTCCTGACTGTGACAAAAATTATAGTACGGATTATCCTTAGAAATCTCTAGTCTCTTCCTCCCCTGAAGATAACTTCATTTCCTAACTGCCCTTGCAGCCTTCTGTGGCCATATGACTAATGTTCCAGCCAATAGGGTGTAAGCTTTCAAGAATCTTCCTTAAAGACTGCTGCTGCTCTCATTTTGCCAATTCTTCCCCACTTAGTCCATTCTGCCACATGAAACAAGGGTGCAATGACCGCTATCTTGGACCATGAGGACAATAACCAATTACTAAAGATGGTAAAACATAGAAATGAAAGGTGTGTGGGCTTCTTAGAGCAGAATCGCAATACCAGACCTGGCCTCTCTAGATCTGGATTTTGTATGGAAGAGATTCTTTTATTTAAGCTTCTTTTATTTTATGTTTTAATTACAGCAAAACCTGATTATAAATAATAATAGTTTTGTGACCATTATACTAAAATAAATTATGGAATAATAATTAAATTTAACATTTGAGTGTTTTGGCACTGTCAGGTGCTACCAATTAAGTTACATTTTCTCATCTACCTCTCTCAACAATCCTTTAAGGTATTACCATCTTCATTTTACACTTGAGGAAACTGAAATGGAGATAGGTTTTTTAAGTTATCGAAGATCACACCCATAGAAAGCGGTAAAGCTAGTTTTGGATCCTTTATCAGTCTGACTCAGTTTCATTCATACTCTGTGATGTCACTGAAGGCCACTGGGATAGCATAACTTTGTCATGCATTCACTGAACATGGTTCTGTAGTTTCTTCTGGAGTCTCTTAACTATGCCCAAACCTTAATAAATAGTCCTTTGATTAAACTTTCTTCAATTAACAGCGAGACTCTGTCATAATTTCCCCTGACTTACCAGCTTTTTCAATGGTTTTCTTTAGCTTTCCTTTCTCTAGAAACTAGCATGAGAATTATTTCTGTAATGTTTTTTGCTAATCATACATTTTTTTTTTCAGTTTGCCTTTTTAATCACTTAGCTGACCCAGCTTGCTGTTGCTTACCTATTTAAGACAAGAAGAGAGAAAAACTGGTGGAGGTGCTACAGATGGGGAGAGAGACAAGTCAGGAGGCCTTCCTCCCCACCTCGGTTCTTGTCTCACCTACAAGAGAATAATTCAAGGGGGAGACAAACAGGTATAGTGGGAAAAAGATAGCAAGTTTATTTATGAAACACACAAGCATGGAGCTACAGGCAAGCCTCTGGCAAGTCTAAATGCCCCACGTATAGAGGAAAGAAAATTGTTAGTGAGTTTGTTAGTAAGTTAGTG